AAATATATATATATATATATATATATATATATATATATATATGTAATGTAATATATATATATTTTTTTTTTCATACTCAAGCCCCAAGTACTTTTCTCACCTTGCTTTTGTTTTGACGCCTATCAGTCACCTTCAGAGTCAGAGCTTTTGACTGGAGTACTGCTTTTCACCTCTATATGTAGCTGATGTACATGCTTTTGTGGCAAGAAATTCTTTGGCAACGTATAGCGTATTGTAGGGGTGAGAAGCAGCACTCCAGTCAGAAGCTCTGACGAAGGTGTCTTGTGAACATCGAAACATATGCAGGGTGAGAGAAGCACTGGTTGTGTAAGAAAATCCCTATATATCCCATGTCCTACCAACCTAAGTCAAGCCTCCTCTTCCCCTCCTTTCTCCCCCATGTACCCCTACAGGAGTAGAGATCTGTATCGCCACCCCTGGGCATGTAAAAGACTTGAGTCCATCAATATGGGGTGCTATTTTTTTTTTAATCTGTTTTTCCCTCTCTTCCCCTCCTATCTCTCACCCTACAGGAGTAGAGATCTGTATCGCCACCCCCGGTCGCCTTATTGACTTCCTGGAGGCCGGGAAGACCAACCTGCGGCGCTGCACCTACCTGGTGCTGGACGAGGCAGACCGCATGCTGGACATGGGCTTCGAACCCCAGATCAGGAAGATCATCGAACAGATCAGGGTAAGGAACACCATGGCTCAAAATTCTTTTTTCTGCACACCTGCACCAGGCAGATTTACCTTTACCACTCATTTTCACCCTAGCACTTTCTCCTTAAATTTTGAAGGTTGGCCTTGTGGCCTATGGACTGGTGCAAGGTAGATCAGAAGTAGCTGCTTACTTACTTTCTGCCCTTAATGCCAGTTCCGGCATGTAGGGCAGCAAGAAGTACCTGCACTAACCTGCATATGCAGTTGATATTTTGAACCCTGACTGCAATATTATGTACTGTATGATTTTCAGATTTGTAGTTTTGAAGGTTCACCCTTGATAATATCCATGTGCTAGTTGGGCAGCCTCGGCTATATCTACAGCCAAATGAATAAATAAAAATGAACATATTTGATGTTGAATGTGACATCAGTATACACCCCTCCCCCCAACAGCCTGACCATCAGACCCTGATGTGGAGTGCCACCTGGCCTAAGGAGGTGAGACAGCTGGCAGAGGAGTTTCTATCCAGCCATAAATATCAAAATAATAAATATACCAATAAACTAATAAAATAATCTCGTATCTTGTACTTTTCCCCAGCCTGACCGTCAGACCCTGATGTGGAGTGCCACATGGCCTAAGGAGGTGAGACAGCTGGCTGAGGAGTTTCTCCATGACTATATCCAGGTGAACATCGGCGCCCTGTCTCTCTGTGCCAACCACAACATCCTGCAGATTATTGATGTGGTGCAGGAACACGAGAAGGACAACAAGTGGGTATCTGTTCTGATAAATTTCTGTGGGAAAGGTTCCTCTTTATAGATAAAGGTAAAGGTAGTGCCATAGCCTGATTGAGGCTGTAAGGACAGTGTTAGTCCAATGTGTCAGGGCACAGTATTGGAAGACAGAACCCATCCCTTTCCTTTCACTGCCTTTTACCTCCCCAACCAAAATCAGGCACCCATTTTACACCTAGGTGAAGTGAGGAAAGTTGTGTTAAGTTCCTTTCCCAAGGACGCAACAAAGGAATTAACCCGTGATCTCATGTCAGCTCTTGTAGCCACTAGGACATTTGACGCCACGACATAATCCTACACCTTTATATAGTCTAACACAAAGTGGTCTATATTGCACAAACTAAAGGAGGAAAGGAATAGCCTCTGTACAGAAGCAGTGCTATGACCATGTATGTTACTGCCTTGCTGCTTTACTGCTGTATGTTAATGTTTGTGTTCTTTGTTTCAGGCTGATCAGGCTCCTGGAGGAGATCATGGGAGAGAAGGAGAACAAAACCATCATCTTCGTGGAGACCAAACGCCGGGTGGATGACCTCACACGCCGCATGCGCAGGGACGGGTGAGTAAAAGCTCATGTAAAAGCTTTAACTTCTTAAATGAGTGTTTTTCATTGCTGAGATAGCTGGAACGAAGACATGTATTGTTTTAAGGGCTAGACAACAGGAAGTGCTATGCTCTATTTTGTCTCTGAGTTGAAAAATCTGTCAAAATTTGTCTTCAGTTTTAGTAACAAAAAAAATCCACACATAAGTTTTCATCTTGTGTTTGTGCATAGCTAAACCTGATACAACATAGTATATAATTGTATAATCCTTGTTCAGCATAGATCACTAACTTGTTGGAATAGCTATTAGATTATGTCTTACTGACGGTGAGTGTTGCTTGCAGGTGGCCTGCCATGTGCATCCATGGTGACAAGTCTCAGCCTGAGAGAGACTGGGTGCTCAATGGTAAGTCAACCCAAGGATTTCCTGTAGAGTTTGTGGTTAAGGAAATATTGTTTCTTGTGAAAATTCAGTTGTTGTAAACTACAATTAAAGAGACAAACTACCACATATCTAAGCTCATTCTGCCTATATGCACAGGCACAGGCCAGGTGCATATAAGCTCATTGCAACCCAGAAAATGGTTTAAATAGTGCAAAGAATTAAGTCCTTACATGTACATTTCTTGTTTTATCCAGAGTTCCGCACAGGACGGGCTCCAATTCTGGTGGCCACTGACGTTGCCTCTCGTGGTCTAGGTTTGTACCTAACTTTTGGCCTTTATTTTCTCCTCCCTTTCTGTTTATTGTACACGTTTTCTCCAGTTTTACATGACCTGTTGTAAAAGCTGTCTGAATGTTGTGAGGATGATCAGGGTTTGTACACACCTTCCTATTTTTAGAAAAAAAAAATCAAAATTATTGTTGAACACATAGCTTGACAAGTTATGAATCAGATTTAACTTGTATTGAAAAATCATAATGCTTAACATTGTTCTTTTGAATTGTGATCTAACATACTCCATGTCTTCAAGGTATCAAAAACCTACATGTTTTTCATTGTCATTCAGTAAAGTAGTATTTCTTATTTGCAAACTGTTCCAATTTGACCTGCAAGTTGACAAGTTACAGTTACATTTTGTTTGACGAGTCCTAGCAAAGTGCGAATGTGACTGTTAGATTTTTCCCACTAAATACAAACACACACACACACACACACACATACATTTTCCATTTGTATATAATATATATTGTAACATTTGGCACTGGTCTGAATTAGTTCTGATGTTGGCATGACGCATTCGATGATGATTTGCACAGTATAGACCTCTTGGATTTTGAGAGAGAGAGAGAGAAAATCTGGGGACCGTTTACTGACGTTTTGGCTTTGTTTTTTGAGTTCCCTGTTCTCTGTAGATGCGCGGGAGGACACACCGGCATGACTGCTTCCGGCTGGGCCAGAGGAGAGGGCCGCGAGCCTTTAATGTTTTCCGCAAAAGTGCAATAATAGTACTGTTATACGGTTGGAAATGCTGCTATTAGGTGGGGGACTGTTTAACTGTAAAGTAAGGATAAACAAGGTTCCAGATTGGACAGTGAAAATGAGATTTGTTTGAAAGGGAATTTCCAAAAGGGGTTGTAAGCTCCAGATTTGAATTTGTAAAAGAATGAAAGTTGTATTTATGATTCGGAAAGTGGACCTGGTTGAAAGGGTTCGAGCATTGTTTAGTTTGGTGGGAACTACCGGTAGAAACATCTTTTTTGGTTTGTTTCAAAACACCCTGGTAAATTGTTACAAACTATTGAGATGTGAGGAGGGGGTGGTTATAAAAAGTTGGGGAAACCGGTGAATAGCTGTAAGATGGAGGTGGCTATGCAATATGTCACCCAGCCATCAGTGCTAGAGTTGGGGACAGCAGCATGAAGACTTTAAAAATCGGACCAGACCGTGTTCACAGCTCGCTCGGCGTACCTCATCCCTCTCTCAGGATCGTGCGGGAGTCATGTCGGCACCTCCTGCCAGGATGGGAACAACCTGCATCAACCAACGTTAACCCCCGCCCCGCCAGAATTCCATTGATCAATCCGCCATGGTCGGTATTGTCCCAGTGGTAAGATTTGGTTGGTGGCGGATACCCGAGAGTGCGTGGGGTCGTGTGACGTAACGACAGAGCGTTCGGCTCGGAACCAAGAGGTCCCGGGTTCGAGCCCTGCCACGTCACCGATCTTGTGCCCTTGGGAAAGGCACTTTGCACGACTTTCCTGGATGGAGGCCTGGCGAACCCCATCTTTGTATTAGCCACAAAAAGGCAGCAGAATCTTCGATCAGCAAGTTGAAAGCGGCTGCCTTAAAAGAAAAAGAAGAAGAAGAAGAGTGAAGGTGGCTCCCGTCGCACTGTACTGGCTTCTTGTGACTGTCGCCTGCCCACCAGACCCTCCTCTCTTGTGAGGGCCGGGGTTTGTTTTGCGGTGACACGAAGAGGCACTAAAAAGCGGTACGCTGCTGGGAAGAGGAGCCCACCTCCACACCTAACCCCAGGCCGATCGAACGAACGAGACAGACCAAAGTGCCTTTTTGAGCCCTGTTTGGTGAGGTGCATACGCCCCAGAAGGCTGTCCACCAGGCTAGCCCAGTGGGGGCCCCCCTAGCCTTTAGCTTAGCCAACCAACCAACCGGGAAGTGGTTCAACCTTACCCTGGGTGTCCGTGGTGACAGCCGTAGTTTGTCTGGGAGTGTGCATCCGCCGAGTACGTACGTCTCTCACCTGTTGGCTATGGCTAACCCCGTCCTTTCCAGCACACCTACATGTACGGAAGAGAAGTCACCCACAGGTAAGTGTTCGGTGAGCCGTGCCTGAGGTAGAGCGGCCTTACTCTGTGTTCTAACTTCTTAGCAAGGAAATCAAAACTTAAGGTACAGGTACAGTCAAACCTGGCTCAGCCAACCACCTCTAGTAATAAGCCATGTGAAAACTCCTGACCAATTTTACGTAGTTAAGACACAACAGTCCTGTCCAATTTTACATACTGGTAGACAATTTTGTCCAGAGCAACCACCCCCAGTTGCCCACAACTTTTTCCTCGGTACTTAGAGTGGTTGTTGAGACCGAGTTTGACTGCAATGAGCTTCAAAAAGCTTTACGTGTAGCTGAGTTTGGTGGCAGTGTAAGGTAAAAGCATGGCGTAAACCAGGTAAAAACAACAAAGGCAGCTCTACCCAAGGTGCGCAAAAGTCGGTCGGACCCCAAACAACAGGCACTGACTGTGCGATTCCTTCTGTCCAACCCCGTTGCCGTTCGTGTAAAAAAAAAAACAAAAAAAAAACCCACACAAACCGGCAACGCTCTGCAGATATCACGGACGTCAAGTTTGTCATAAACTTCGACTACCCGGCTTCGGCGGAGGACTACGTACATCGCATCGGGCGCACGGCGCGAAGCGAGCGGACCGGGACGGCCTACACCTTCTTCACCCCCAACAACATGAAGCAGGCCAAAGAGCTGGTCTCGGTGCTGCAGGAGGCTCGCCAACAGATCAACCCCAAACTCATCCAGATGGTGGACGCCGCCAGGGGAAGCTTCGGAGGAAGGGGAGGTCAGTATAGCACGAAAACCTGGAAACCGAAAACCTGGAAACCGAAATGCAAAGGCCACATCGATTTAATTGTATGGTTGTCGTATTTTTTCGAACAAAAAAAGTATGAAGCAATACGGAAAAAAGACAGAGCTACATGTAAGCATATTATGATAGTCCCAAATTCAAACAAAGTACTTGTGGACTCCCAACCAGTTAACACAATTTACAATGTATAGATCGCCACTGTTTTGTCTCTGAACACATTTTTTCCACTAGATGCTGCCCCATCAACCTTTGCTTCCATTGCTGCTTACTAACAGCATGATAGTATGCTGTGACACTTCTAGAGATACGCCTAGGAAGACCTAAAACAGAAATAACAAAAAGCATGTACAAAAGTTATCAAGCCCTAACTTTTAGAATTGAGTAGTCATTGCTTGTGAATGCTTGTCTGCCCCCACTTAGCTGCTAGCATGGGCTCTAATGTGGGTTTCCACGCACCTGCTCTGCATGCTGTAGAGAGGCCGTGTTGTGGGTTTTCACGCTTCCTGACTGAGCATGCACGTTTCTTACTTACTCTCCCTTCCATGTTGTCGCCCCCTGCAGATCGGAGACGGTGGCGGTAGTAGAGAAAAGGCAGTGGGAATTCTCAAAAAATTGCCCAATTCCATCTTTCTAATTGCAGATCGGCGCCGCTACAGGACGTCTAGTTCTCATGGCGACCGTGGGGGCGGTCGGGACTTCCGGGACCGCAGCGGGG